CTTTGATAATAGTGCATTTATATGGTTAGCAAACAGGTCTACCTGTAATAGGCCCAGATTCTCTGAATTTTTTTGAAAAATCTTGGGTTTTATCATCCAATTGTGGTGGTCTAATGCTTTTCTTGATGCTAAGTCCGCTAGTATATTTTGTTTGCTTGATATGTGTTGTGCTATCAATCTGATGTTCTATATCATACATAATTTCCAAATTTTTTCTACCAATAGACTCAGATTTGTTGAGATCGTGCTCTTTTAGTGGTTCAGGTAGGCTATGCAGGTTATATTGTCTAATTTCACTATCACTGCCTTGTCTTTTAAGTCTTTTAGTGCTAGGAAGGTGTAGTGTATCACTGTTATTTCTAAGATGTTTATGTGTAGCTTGCTTTGTTTGTGGTTCTAATGATTAGAAATAAGCCATAAGTCATGCACTGCTCTCTATCCTGTTTTGGATGTGTTTGTGTAAAGAACTGTAGTTGAAATGTCCAGGATCAGGCTCATACTATTCCATCTTGTTAAATTCTGTGACCACCATATTAGTTGTTGATAGCTTTCCGAGGATAGGGTTAGTATGCAATTCCATCCCTTGTTTTTAATACTTTGTTTTTGTTTCTTATCAGGACTCTCATCATAAGTCTTGCTAGAAGTACGGTGCCAATACTAGCTGAAAGTTTTCCTATGATCGATGCTAGTTTTCTTATGTATATTGTGGATTTGTTCACTATAAACCTGCATTTTCTTATAATGTTTATTATCTTTGCTTTTGGTAAAGCCATGGTCATTATATTTGAATTTATTAAGAATCTCAAATATTGTATTTCTCTCGACAGTGTAAGATTCAATTTTTTGTAGTTTATGATGAAGCTGTGCTTGATTAAAACTTGTAGCACTTTGTTGGTGTATTGTATTGCTTCCTTTTTCGATGATGAGCAGATCAGAAAATTGTCGATATAGGCTATTACTCTGATTCCTCTTGTTCTTATTGATGTGATTAGAGGTTTTAGTATTTTGGTGAACACTCTGGAACTGCTAGTCAATCCAAAGGATAAGCATGTATACTGGTATTTCTGTTGTGCGAAATCAAATATAAAGTAAGATTGTATCTGCTGTGATAGTGGTATATGCAAGAAAGTATCTGTAATATCTATGGAAATAAAGTAGTCGTTTCTTTTTATAATATTTTTTACGTGTTTTATTGTTGCTATTTTGAAATAGATAAAGTGAACATAAGTGTTGAGTTGCCTTAGATCTATGACTATCCTTGCTTAATTAGATTTTTTGAGAATAACAAATATTCAGGATAGAAAACAAGAAGCTTGTATTAGTACTTTGATAATCGCTTCTTTGTTCAGCAACGTGTCTATTTGTTGTTTAATAATAAATCTTTGGTCTTCGTTTAAGATAATATCTTAGAACATTGGTTATATTTTTAGTAGAGATAATGTGTGCTATTCTAGTGTATATCCTATGTTAAAATTATAGTTATCCAAAAAGAGCCTATAGACTGATCCTATTGCTCTTTGTAAAATACTAACCTTCCAGCTACGCAGAAATCTTTCTCTTGATAACTTATTAATCTTCTTGAGTCTGGCGAGCCAGCTGTGATAGCTGGCTACCTCTCTGTATATTTTCCTGTCTGTTGAAATTTTTATTGTAGAACCAGTAGTTTCTATGTCTACCACAAGCTAAACTAGAATTGAAGCGAGAATGAGTTGTTCTTGTATTGTTACTAGTATTGCCTCTAGAAAAGAAAACATGGTTCTTGTATTTAAAAGCCTGTTAAATAAATTTATTGGTGGCATTCTCATTCTTAATGATCATTTTGAGATCTTGTCTGAATACTTCCTCATTTTCATTAGGTGGGTTGTATTCAAGTGATATGCTTTTAATAGTATTGTCTCGTTGAGCCTTATTAATATAAGATAAAGAGTCTAGTAATAATGCTCTGGCATTTTTGAGTGAGTTTTCAATAGCTTTCCACACATAAATAGCTTCGGTCTCTTCATCAGGAGGCTTTGATATGTATACAGATTTGAGCACATTCTTAATTAGTCATAGCACTGCTGATATTCTGTATGATACCTTTGATAAGGTTTTGTCAGTTTTCTTTGTGTGTGAAGAAAGTAGCTTCCACATTCGTTTATCCATAGTAGGTGGATTATATTTGATTTGTATATTGCATGGTTCGTTTCTGAGAATTGTAGATCTTTCATCCTTTAAAAGTAATTTTTCCTTATGAATGTTGGTTGGAAGATGCACCATTTCACCGTAGGAGTCTATACTATATATGGATCCAGGTCATTAGTTTTAGAATCAGAGTTGATGACACTTGCACCGAACACATTGTAGTCATTATCATCATCACGTATGAAATTGAGATTTTCATTAGTATCTATATTTGTATTGTTTTGAAATGTT